TCTAACTGCTATTGCTATTGCTAGTAGGGGTTTTTTTTGTCCTTATACATGAAATAAGGACAAAAAACAATGGTTCTGTACCATTACATCTTCTGAACCATTATTTTGTGGCCCTTTCTAAACACATTAAGAAACTGGCTTTGCTTTCCAATTGTGGTTGGCATAACTGGTGCCAATTTATTGTGCCTTTTATTTGGTTCACTCCTCTCTTCCTTTTATATGAAGCGGTATATAAGTCTAACTGCTATTGCTATTGCTATTGCTAATATTTGGATGGAAGCCCAGCAAGATTTCTAGATTTCCTCTTCGATAGACTGGGAAATAGGAAAATTGTCATGGGGGAAGGCAGTGGCAAACGGCTTCCATAACGTTGCAAAAGAAACTACATGGATTTGTTAGTTTGATGGCTGGGAATTTAGTATGACTCAAGATAATCTTTACTTGTATTCTGTATGCGTAGATTTGTTTTGGGTTTGGGGAAGGTTATGCAGTTGTGAGAATTTATTGAATATTGTTACATTTGTGAAAATATCCGTTTATCCTGTAAGAAAAAAAAGTTCAAAGTATGGCACGTTTCTCATTTCCTTTATATTTACTTGCTGTCAAAATATGTGCTGATGTAGGTTTGAAGCCCTTTTCCCTCTGGTGTTGGCTTTGCTGATGTTCGTGTGGTTAGACGTGGAGCAAGAAGCAATCCAACAGTCTGGAATTTCATTTAAACCTCAGGTAAACGATTCAGTACACACCTCAGGGAAAAATGCTGCCACCCATTTTCCCCAGCAATTAAAATCCCAGCTGACTCACGAGCCTGGGAACGTAGCCACAGAATCCCAACCACCTCGGCGCTTGTATTTCTAAAACAGAATGCTCAAATAAGAGAAGTCCAGCAGTTTCGCAGACACTCATTAGCTGTGGCCAAAGAGGTGGCCAGATTTCCCAGAAGCCAGGGTGCATTCCACCAGCCCCAATCTAACTAGTTACAGTCAGAGGAAACCAGAGCCAAGTCATCTAGTAACATTAGAATGTTTTGAAAATAGTCACAGTCCCGTAAACCCAGTCTTCATGAACATGGGAATTCTTTTGAAAAACACCTGAAAGCTACCTTCAGATGGGCCATTCCAGGCAGTGTTTTCACATCCAGGCTCCATTTCTATGTATGAACACTAATGGTTGCAAGGCCACTGCTGTTAATGCAATTATACTCACCAGATTGAGGGAAGTTGGCATTTTGGAACCCACTCTTCAGATTGAATGAATGATGATAACACTGGCAAACACTTATGGTATCTTCTTTTAATATAAAGTTTTTTTTTNGAAGGATGGAAGGCTGAGTCAACCTTGAGCTGGTGAGATTTGAACCGCTGAACTGCAGATAGCAGTCAGCTGAAGTAGCCTGCAGTACTGCAACCTAACCACTGCGCCACCTCGGCTCTTACATACAGTAGATAATATTGAATAAATGTAGTAAAGTGGTTATAATTCTGAATTAAGACTAGGGAACCATGGCTGTCAAGGTAATTAAATTGACCAAGAGAAAGAGAAGAATCAGGTATACTGTTTAGTGTGGCTTGGGAAAGAATCGGAATATAAATATCAAACATCTTTGAAATCTGACCAATCCTTTAGGAAATTTTGAAAGCTTGAATTGTACAATTTAGTAGGGTTCCGTCAATCAAGAGACTGTCAGGTCCGTGGAAAAGATAGGTAACCGTTACATAATAAATTATGTAGAAAAGTCATTAGCTGTTTAAAAAAAAAAAACAGGCCTAATTTTGACAAGTTGTACAAATCAGCCTCCTTTGATTCTGCTCATTTTCCTGCCTGCTCCATGTTTGGTGCCCTGATATTCTTAAGACATGCAATTCTGAGAAAATAGATGAAAAGAGAACTACGTTGTACCTCAGAACACATCTACATACATTCTTCGAAGCTTTATTGAACTGTGGATTATTGTCCTTTTCTGACACACTGTTTATTTTTTCCCCCCTCAGGCTTTTTCTCATTGTTCTCGTGATTTCAGACATTATGGCTTTGGTAAGCTACTATTGGACATTTTGTACAAATAAGATCAAAAAACCCCAAAGAGCTTTGCTAATTCAATCACGGGACATCTGAATTAGCCTCAGACTTCAAAGTTCCTTGAATTAGGTCAGTGAGTTGACTTTGAAACCCCGCATAAATTGCAGAAAGGCCCTCTCTCTACGCTATAATTCTTTGAAATAATTTAATGAATGATCAAAAAAAATTGTAAGTCTGTATTATCACTTCGATTCTCTTATGGGGCCATTAAGTTAGCTACTACTAAGTTTCCATCTACTTCATACAGAATTTTAAAGTCTGAGCCAAAGAAAATATCAGATGCACCTGCTTTAATTTTTTAAATCTTTTCTGCCATACTTTCAGAACAAAAAAAGAGTCTCCTTTAATTTTTTTCAAAGGAAATACCAAATTATCAAGCAATGTGTAATGAGAAATACCACCCAGAACGGGTTGAATAAGCCTATCTTTGTGTATAGTGGGAGATTTGGCTGGGTGGATCAGGATTCATGAAATAGATTAAACAATTATAATAAACATAGCATTTAAAAAAAATTAAAAAACTATGTTTGCCCTAAAGTATATACAATGCCTGTAGTGTATGCACATATCACAACTCGGCTAGAAGGGATGTGTCTTTGGAACAGTAATGGAAGAGGTTTATGATTTCAAATCTATGTTCCCTTATTCCTCCCGGTGGAATTGGTTAAATAAGACACACCAGCTTTTGTTCTATCACATTAAATTGTTTTGATTGAACTGGTCCAGGAAATCTCACAAATAGGAGGAAATATTTGCAAATCCCTGCCTATTGTTGAGTCCAAAATAAAGGCGAAAACTTCTTAAGTTGAGCTTAACTCTTGGCAACAACATTTGTGTAGTTTACTTGGCAGTAACATAGAAGGGTCTTGCCATTTCCTTTCTCTCTCTCTCTCTCTCTCCTCCTTCCCTCTCCCTCCCCTCCCTCCCCCTCCCTCTCTCTCTCTCTCCTGCCTCTCAGATTTTACAAATTTCTCAATATATTGTACAGACATGGGATTTCCTGGTGTTACTCCACCCAATATTAACCTGTTCTGATCTTACTTTATTCTGGGAGCAACTACGGTTGACAAAGTGTTCCCACCTAATCTGTAGAATCCTTTTAAATGCCGCCATCTAAGTTTTACTTGTCAGCGTTTTAAATTGGATAAACGTGTGATAGCCCTGTAGCAGTAGAGCTAGACAACTGCCTTAAACTGAATCAGAACTTTTTGTCCATCTGGCCAAATGGCGAAATGAATTAATAGGATTCTTTTTATCTCCCTTGCTTTCTCTGCTGACGTTGAAGAGGAGACGGCTTTGCCATATTCATGAGATGGGGAAAATTCCACTGATTTTTAGACAATAAACTCTAATCACTATCTCTGTGGCTTCTTCAGCATGCCTGCCTTTCAGTAATGGTATCATTTAGGTTGATCATTAATGCGGCTATAGGGAATTAGAGCTGAAAGAGAAACGACCAGCCAAAGACCATTTAGGAGGCTGAAGCAGATGTTGAGAGAAGCAGGATTGTTCCAGTAAGAATCATCCCATCTCTGCAAGCAGTAGCCAGCAAAATAGAGAGGGAAAGCCAGGCATGATTACACTTTGGGTCGTTTTTAGCAAACACGGTAAAGAAAATGCAGGTTTGGTTGCGGAAATATCTGTCTGGACTCAAGGAGTTCATAACCAAATACAAAATTCACAGTAATTTATCCAGTTTCCTTTTGGGGATGGGAGTGTGTGTTGTTAAAATCACTCTTGACTTGCAATTGCAATTGTGTTGACTGGTTCTGCAGGTTTTTTTTTGGACAAGATTTCAGAATACTTGTCCTTGCCTTTTTCCCAGGGGTAAGAGAGAATGACTGGCCTAAAATCACCCATCTGGCTTTGTGCCTAAAGCAGAACTAGAACTCACAGCCTTTAACCACTACACCAGATTGTTACCCGTTCATTTTCTTAGTGACTTGTTATCTGGCATACAGGATGTACTTGTTTTTATTTACTGTAAATATCCTCTTTTGAAGACTGGTCTTCCTTTTTTTTTTTACAGATGGGTTTATATGTCCTGAACAATTCAAATATACATATCAGTTTTGTCACTTTTATTGGGCAATGTACATGTACTGAATATAGTTATTGTTTTTTTTTCCCCCTAGCACTTCTTCTTTCTGGTTAAAGATTATGGAAGCTGGCTGGACATTGGAACCAGGTACAGATCATTGGTTAGCTCCTCCTCCTGAGACTTCTTCTTCCACCCTTATGTTACAAATATGTGCGGTTTACCAGTCCAACAGTTTGACCAAGAATGTTGCGTAAAAGGTGGTTCTGCAAAATGCTGCTGCTTGTTCGGGTTAAAGAAAACGGATTCATGACTTTGTAATTTCTTACCTGTTTTATTTTTTTCCCCTTTAGTGTGTGTGTGTGTATGTGTGTATGTGTGTGTTTGCCTTGTTAAGTTGGGTAATAGTGTGTTCCTTGGGCAGCAATTCTCAAACTGTGAGACCTGATCTGTGTAAAAGAACGAAGATCCAACATTGACAATAGGGGGAAATAATAAGTGAGCCACGTGACTTGCAAAAACATATGTAATTCTAAGAAAGAGGAAAGCATGATAAATTTAAAGTGACCCTGATTTTATTTGCATAAGATAAGGCAAAAGAGAAGCTTGCAAGATTGATATCACCTCTTTGAGGTGGGCCAGGTCAAGAAACAGGTACGGCAGGGATTCCAAAAATGTTCTTTATTGTTCTAGGGTAGCACAGAGGAAACTTGAAAGCCTGTATAATTGACACCCTTAATTTATTTCTGTCTTCACTGCTGTCGATGTCCCTTTCCTTTTCCTTCTAGATTATTTTAAACTTTATTTTGAAGGGTTACATTTAGAGGTGAAGGACATCTTCTTAAAAGACAGATAACCTGCAGTCTTCTTAAAGTGGAACTCCGAAGTATGGGAAGACAGATGTGTTTGAGGAGTTTCCCTTGTAAAACACCCTCTACCTCTGAAAAACTAGTGCTTTGGCTAATTTACTCTTCTTCCTATCTATTTTTTCAGGTTTTGTTTTGTTATTTTAGCAGTGTCATACAGGTTGTGTATGGAGAAGTGTTCAGACGTACAATCTTATGCTAGCATGAAAAATATACCTTGGGAAGAGTTTTGCTAAATGATTTTTCTGAATTTAGAATATGTATATTTTTGTAAACCAANGTTTGGTAGATTTGACGAACCGGTTCTACCGAATAGGTGCGAGAACTGGTAGGAACCCACCTCTGGCTGGCAACAATATTTTTAAAACTATTAGTAATTTAACATCGAGGCAAATGTCTATTTAGATGGATAAGCAGGGACCTCCAGGCACAAGAAATTTGAATTCTTTGTCCCTCCTCCTCTTCTTGCTACACATATAAACTAATGGCTCAATAACTATTTCATTTTAAGGAACCAAAGAATGTAATATCTATGCAAAGTTAAAAGAGGGGAGCTGCAGTGATTTGCTGCTTGTTCATATATGTATATGGGTTTAGTAGCCTGTGGAAAGCTGGCTGGCATATTAATCTCACTAATAGTTGCAATTCCGGGTGGCGTTCTCAGATGAATATTCTAAGTCATAATTTTGAGTACATATACAGAGAATTGCAATGCATATACTTGTTAGTTCCTGGATCAGTCAGGAAATTTTAACTTTTGCAAAAAAAAAAATGCAGTAGACAATTATGCTTTGTTGGCAATATTGCATTTTCCTCAACTTGATGCAGGTTTTCTTCATAGTGACGGCCTTTTTTGGAACTGGAAATATAGCTTCCATTAACAGGTACACTGACCTAAAAGCAACCATCGCAATCCCTCCATTCTGTTTCCGCTTACTTGTTTCTATCCTAAACAATTTAAGCAAACGCCTTCATAATTGCCTATAATATTGCATACCCTGAAATGTTTTACGTTTTATATTAATCATGATGAGGGGAAAAGATGCGCCAGTGCTTTTGGGTATGTCACTTCGTTTACTAACAGATCTAGGCGCGACTGATAATGATCAGTGGGAAAGGAAATGATACAAGGAAATATTCTGTGAGATCATTGGGGCTTTAAAAATATTTAAGTAAGAGGTAGAAGGCTGTCACTTACAGACTTAAAACCACTAAAATTCGTAGAAGTAGAAGTAGAAGCGGTGCAAACTAGCGGCGCATCTCCTTGGCTACATAATAGTGTCACATTTTCGTAATTGAGACAAATGCTGTTTTCTGCTTCCTCCTGGAATGAATTGTCTACAAAAGCACACATTAATAATGTTCTGTTCTGCTCTCATTCTTAAACCCTAGCTTTGATCCTACCTCGGTTTACTGCTTCTTGACCGTGTTCAGCCCTTTCCTGATGGGAGGATTGCTCTTGTGGAAGGTCAGTATTTAGAAAAGGTTATTTGCTAGGCCAGATAGGCCAGCAGTTTTCAACCCCTGTGCTGTACACATTGATGTGCCTCAAAAAGATCCGCAGGTGTGCCATGTCAGTAAGCCACAGGAAGGGACAGGACACGCCACACAGCTACGTAACTAAAGCCTCACCTGCACGACATCACCTAAGATAGAGTGGTTCCCTTTCTGCTCCCGAGTCTCGGGAGCCTGTGATGTCATGGCACTTCCGGTTTCACGAGCTGGAAGCCCCATCTAGGTATGAGATGTCTATAGTAAGATCAAAAGTATTGGGATAGGCTGCAGTTCTACTGTACACTTGTTACTATACCTTAAAGTTAGTAAGGTTCACGTTCCAACAAATAATGTGGGGCTAATGACCAGCTGGGCAGCTGTGGCTTGGTGATCTTGTGACTGGGTGGGCGTGGCCAACTCAAGGTCACTCAGGTCGATGGGCGCTTCGCCTTAGCTGTTACAANTATTATATTATTAAATGTTTACATCAGTTCGTCTTACCGTCAAATGCCATCCAGGATGCCATGCTGAGTGCTACAACACATTTCAGGACATCAGTAGATCTGGAGACATTCAAAAGAGATCAGATTTTGAGGGATTTAAAAGTCAACGGATTGCTTGGAAGAGCTGAATATGTTTAGAAAAGAAACTATGATAGGCAACTTCAAATGTATAGAAAGACATCACGTTGAAGGATTGAACAGGCTTATTTTATGCACGTGGCTATGTAGTTTAGAACTAGAATAGTGAAAACTTGTTCCATAAAAATCTGCTAATATCTGCCTCTTTGACTGTTATTAAAACAGTGAGGACAATGAGGTATTAGCAAATGTAGATTGCATTCTGAATTGAAGTTTCTATGTTAACTGGAAGTGTACAAGATGCCTTTTTAAAGTCCTTTCTTTATTTCTGATTCTACTTATTTAAGCCTCTGAATCCAGGGTATGTGAGAGCAGTGGGCAAAAGATGCTAGAGACTCATCAGAGCAACTTTCAGTATGGATTTGGTACTGCAATATCTTTGCTCCATAAAGCTCTAGCATAGCTGGCTGGGGAATTCTGGGCAGTTGAAGTCCACAGGACTTAAAGTCACCAAGGTTGAGAAACACTGCTCTAGAGGATATTGCTAGAAAGCAGAATCAACTTTTCTGGATTAGGAAAATATACCACTTTGTAGGACATTGGGGAAAAGAAGAAAAACCAGGAGAGCCAATGGATAGATCAGAGTATTATTTCCTTACTTAAGGCAACCGAAGTACTTGACTAGTTACCAGTATTTGAAAAGTAACTTCCTTGTAATAATAATTGAGATATGACAAAGTTATAGAACAAGAGGTTTTGTGTAGATTCTCTGGATTCTCTGAAGAAGGGAACTTAACTTCTCATTTGATCTCTGGGATATATACTTTTAATATGAATGCAATCCTATCTGATGCTATGTTACTAATTTCTCTTTTTCTGTTTTTGTAGCTTGCTGCTCTCAGCTTTTCTTACACTACAGATACACCCCAGTTTCGACCACTTCATGTTGATGACCTGAGGAGGGCTTTTTTCTACGTATCCTTTGACTTAGGAAAACAGATATTCAGCTAGAGCAGTGTTTCCCAACCTTGGCAACTTGAAGATGTCCGGACTTCAACTCCCAGAATTCCCCAGCCAGCGAATGCTGGCTGGGGAANAATAAATAAAGGGAGACTAGTATAGATCTATTTCAAGCTATTTAACTCTTGGCCAACCAGCGAACAATTGTGTTTTAAGAAGGTAAACTAATTTTTCTGGAGGTAAACCAATGAGGAAGCTGTCTGTCAGCATTTACCTCACCACTTCCACCTTAAGCTCACTTACTTTTTTTTCCTGAACAAAAAAAAAAACCAGGTTCAGTTTGAAGTTGACAGAGGCATTTTCAAACAAATCACTGGGTATTTTCTAACAATACACAGAAATCGTGGTTCAACGATGGTTTAAATCAGAGGTGTCCCAAGTTTAAGACCAGTGGACTTCAATTCCCAGAATTCCCCAGACAGCCGTACTTCAGTACCCTTGGTTTAAATCATACCTGACAAAAGTCCCTTTTTAATGGGAGTCTTGTGAATTATGAATAGATAATCCCCATTCTTCCTTTGACTCAGAACTGAGGCTAACATCGTTCCCTGGTTTTCTTTATAGAAGGCTATAAAATGAAATGGCATTTACTCTCCTCATGGATCAAGAGGCCCGACATCGTTTTTTAAGATGTCCTGACCCGCTACTTAACTTTCAGCGGCATACGAGCGCGTAGTCTTGGAGGCATAAAATTTAAGCTCTTTATTTAAAATGAAGCGCCCCCAGGTTTGCTTTTGATGCCTGCCTTTCACAATCAGGAGAGAATGGAAAGAATCAGCACGGGGGGGCATTTAAAACTTTTAAAAGAAGTTACTTCCGGATGCATCAACCAACCTCTTCGGATCACAGCTGATGCCCCCCCACTGATGTTCCTCCTCTAATCATGACTAAATATGAGCATTTTCCGAATCATGCTGCGTCCTCATCCTGATTAGCAGTTCTCTTTGTAAGCTTTGATTGGCACGTTGAGAATGTCTTGTTCAGACTCTGCTAGGCAATGCTAGCTCAGCGGTAGGACACCTGCTTCTGTGTTCATCCAGACAACCAAGTTTCATCTCTTCTCTGGAACACAATTCCATACTATTCCAAATGGTCTCGTTTGTTCCGAGATCCAGGACTTTTATTGCAGCTTAAAGGCAAAGCAATAGAAATAGATTTCAACACATTAAATACCTTTTATATTTGAGAGACCGCCTACTGCCAATTACCTCCACTAGACTGATACGATCGCATCGATTAGGCCTCCTCCGAATTCCATCTACTA